CGCAGACAGCTTTTACACACAGACGCTTTTGCACACAAAAGCTTTTACACACGGACGCTTTTACACAGAAACACTTTTACACACAAGCACTTTCACACACAGACAGTTTTACACACAGACGCTTTTACACACAGACGCTTTTACACACAGAAGTTTTTACACACACGCGCTTTTACACACAGACGCTTTTACACACAAACGCTTTTGCGCACAGACATTTTTTACACACGGAACTTTTACACACAGACGCTTTTACACACAGACGCTTTTACACACAAAAGCTTTTACACATAGACGCTTTTACACAGAAACAATTTTACACACAAACACTTTTACACACAAACACTTTTACACACAGACAGTTTTACACACAGACGCTTTTACACACAGACGCTTTTACACACAAAAGTTTTTACACACAGAAGTTTTTATACACAGACGTGTCTACACACAGACACTTCTACACACAGATACTTTTACACACAGACGCTTTTACACACAGACGCTTTTACACACAGACGCTTTTACACGCAAACACTTTTACACACAGATGCTTTTACACACAGACGCTTTTACACACAGACGCTTTTACACGCAGACGCTTTTACACCACAGAGGCTTTTACACACAGATGCTTTTACACACAGAAGCTTTTACACACAGCCCACAGAAGCTTTTACACAGACACATTTACACACAGAAGAAATCGCAATTTTACCTCAGTTTTTTGCGGTCCAACCTCATTTCGTGCGAAAGGGTTGCACGGGACAAGTTCAAATCGCAATTTTACCTCAGTTTTTGACGATCGAACCTCATTTTGTGCGAAAGGGTTGCGCGGGACAAGTTGAAATCGCAATTTTACCTCAGTTTTTGACGATCGAACCTCATTTCGTGCGAAAGGGTTGCGCCGGACCACTTGAAATCGCAATTTTACCTCAGTTTTTGTCGATCGAACCTCATTTCGTGCGAAACGGTTGCACGGGACGACTTGCAAATCGCAATTTTACCGCAGTTTTTGGCGATCGAACTTCATTTCGTGCGAAAAGGTTGCGCGGGACCACTTGAATTCGCAATTTTACCTCAGTTTTTGGCGATCGAACCTCATTTCGTGCGAAAGGGTTGAGGGCAATAGGGCAAGAGGGCAAGAGGGCAAGAGGGCAAGAGGGCAAGAGGGCAAGAAGGCAAGAGGGCAAGAGGGCAAGAGGAGAAGAGGAGAAGATGTGAGGATGTGAAGATGTGAAGATGAGAAGATGAGAAGATGATGAGAAGATGAGAAGATGAGAAGATGTGAAGATGAGAAGATGAGAAGATGTGAAGATGTGAGGATGTGAAGATGTGAAGATGAGAAGATGATGAGAAGATGAGAAGATGAGAAGATGTGAAGATGAGAAGATGTGAGGATGTGAAGATGTGAGGATGCGAAGATGTGAAGATGTGAAGATGAGAAGATGTGAAGATGAGAAGATGTTTTACAGACCCCCACTATTGGAAGAACCCTGCGCTCAGACGCTCTCGGGAAAAAACCAGGATTCTACCTAAGAGAAGGCTATGGAGAGACAATGGGACATGGAGCAATGTGAGGCCACATAAAGATACCCTCAACAACTACCTAGGGACCCTGGGCTTTATTTTAGACCCCAAACCGCTAGTCTAAAATGAAAGCTCCTGAACCATTTAGCATACATCCCCTATACCACTCTAGCCCTTTACGTGGCCCGAAGCTGCTTGGTCTAGAATGGAGTTCTCGGTGGACATCTTTGGAACTATCAAGATGCAACGTATGAGCGGGCTTGGAATTGACAGAGTATTAGATAAAAAATATTTATTTAATCATTTGATCTTTAACTTTGGGCCTTACCAAACAAATTGTTTTTTTTTGGTGTGTGGGGCTCAAATTTGAAGATTTCACGTGCCTGATTCTGCTCGCATATTTTTTCTCAAGGCATTCTCGGCTCAGTGCTGGCGACACGAACTGGCGTCCAACTTCTCAGAGATCTGCCACCTGCTCACACCTGACAGTTTGAGTTGCAGCACTGGATCAGCAAAGTGCAATGAGCATCGTTCCAATTGCACTGTCATCTTGCTAGATACAAACTTGCCAAAGATAAACAAGGTGACATGAGATGCCAAAGACAAACTGGATGGCGAACAAACATGAGATGCCAAAGACAGACTGGATGGCGATCAAGTCATGTCACAGGATGCCAAAGACAAACTGGATGGCGAACACAAAGTGAAAGAAAAGGTGCAAAGCCAGTGATAGCGAATACAAACGGTGTGAATGAGCATCAATCCTCCCAAACAGGGGCCCGCGGGGGGCGGGTTGCTTGAGCGGGACAGCAGAATGGCTAACTCTCAAGCACTTCCAATCTTCCCGTGCCAACACTTCCAGATTTCACGTGCCTGATTCTGCTCGCATATTTTTTCTCAAGGCGTTCTCTGCTCAGTGCTGGCGACACGAACTGGCGTCCAACTTCTCAGAGATCTGCCACCTGCTCACACCTGACAGTTTGAGTTGCAGCACTGGATCAGCAAAGTGCAATGAGCATCGTTCCAATTGCACTGTCATCTTGCTAGATACAAACTTGCCAAAGATAAACAACGTGACATGAGATGCCAAAGACAAACTGGATGGCGAACAAACATGAGATGCCAAAGACAGACTGGATGGCGATCAAGTCATGTCACAGGATGCCAAAGACAAACTGGATGGCGAAAACAAAGTGAAAGAAAATGTGCAAAGCCAGTGATAGCGAATACAAACGGTGTGAATGAGCATCAATCCTCCCAAATCATTTTTCCCAAGACAGAAATGTTCTCAAATTGTGGTGGGTGAATAATGGGTAGGGGCAGTCAATGCGAATGCAAGTTGTTTGCACAGCTGAGCAGGGTAAAGTTGTGCAACCCGTGTCCATGGAACGCCTTGATGGTTGGACCCTGACAATTGAAAATGTTTCTTCTGAGTGCGACTGCAAATGCCCTTGCCTTGGCATAGTCGCCCGATGCGGGCTACATCCTGAGAGTCAAGATTGCCGCACAAAAACGTGCGTTTTTTCCATAAGGTGCCAAATTGACAGAAATCTGTGAAAACCACTGTGCAACATGAAGAGGCTTCAACCTTTCGGAGCTGCGGTAAAAGCCAGCATTTGGAGCTTGCAGGATTTTCTAACATCCACGGGATGCGAAGCGCATTCAACCATTTGATAATTTGAATGGCTGCCCGGAAACAAGCATTCCCGTTTTGCACTTGTTGCTGGTCAGCAGGTGGCAAAAGGTGCTCAGGAAGCCCCCAAGGGTATTGTTCGTTGCGGATGACACAAGTTCTGTCTCTGGCAGTGGAAAAACTGGAGTAAGGCGGAGCCAACATGACAGCCAAAGCAAGCCGCTGCTGAACATCTCGCTTCAGCTTGCTCAAAACTGAAGGTTTTGTGAGGTCGAATTGTGACCCTCGACACAACTCCCATTCTTTGGCCGCATAACCCAGCTGTCTGCACTGATGAGCCACGCCACCATGACCTGAAAACAAGTCAGCAACATATTGACCTTTCAGGCCTTTGGCAGTGAAGGCAGTTTTGGAGCGCGGGCCTGGCCCAACATCACTTCCACGAGATGTGACTCGGCGGCCAGGCAGTGCTGTTGCAAGACCACTGGGAGCATCTGGAAGTTCGCTGCTAATCGTCCTGACTTTTCGTATCGGGCCACACTCTTGTGTGATTTCCACCTTCCTCGTTTCTGCACCTCCAGTAGGGACCTGGAGTTTCGGCTTCGATCTATACTTGGACCTGAGTGCCGAAGCTGATAGGGGGTGATGTCGATGCCCATTTGTCTGGCAATTTGGCCAAAGACTTTGGCATACTGGCCATAGTCGAAATCCCACAGCATCTGGTTGTTCGGCCGGCTGGTCAGTTGACGCATAAGCGGTGCTGCCCAAGGCCTGAGATAGGCTGAGTCGAGGACAAGAGAGTCGTCGAATGTGCCTGTCTTTGACCGGGCAGGATGCTCCTCTGGGTTCAGCAGCAAGCACCAGTGCTCGGTCACGGACGGCGCAGGTCGCACCAGTGAAAACACCCGGCACCTCAAGAGCTCGCTTGGCCTGGAATAAGAAGACAGCCCCAGCATGGTAAAAAGAGCCATCTGCAGCTGACCCAATCTTTTCATTTCGCTGACCACTGCGCACCACACTGCTAACGGCCATGCTTTGCGGGAAGTGCCTGGGCTCAGCCTTCTCCACCCCTTCAAAGCCCGATAAGTCCGAGGCAGTTTCTGTGATCCATACCGGCTGAAGTCCGGGTTCTGATGCATGAACGAAGCTAGAATCTTTTCTCCCTTGTGGGCTGGATGACCTTCCAAAAAGAGATGGTTGAAATAGGCATTGATCCCCACATCCTTCTGGGGAGCCGTCGAAAAAGTGAGTCTGCGACCGCTGATGAATGCCTTCAGCTCCCCATACTCCTGGTTGTAGTACTGCTCTGTCTTGGCAGTGATGGCCTTGCGCTCTAACAGGCTCAGCCCTTGGGGTTCTGATTGCATCATTTCGTCGACATACTTTTTCAGGCGCTTTCTGCTGCGCCTTGCCAACATCTGCTGTCGACTGTGACTCACTTGCTCCTCTGAGGATGAGGTGCTGTCTTCGCTTTCGGAAAGTCTCCTTTTCTGTCTGGATGTTTCCATCCTCTCGGCCACGTGCTCCAGCTGGACCCTCTCGATGCTGAGAGGCTTCAGTAGCTGGGCTGCTGCTGGCGGCTTGTCCAGCCGACACGTCCTGGACTTGGAACTGGACGCTGGAGCAGCCTTCTGCTGAGGAATGGCCAGAGTCCGTGACCGAGAAGGATGGCTGGATGTCTGGGAAACTGGTGGAGTCAGTGTGGAAACCCTTTTCGGCCCCATCGCGTGAAACAGAGGCGCGCAAAAATGAGCGATTTGAATGTTGACCATGTGCGTGGTAAATATCAAATACGCGACTAGGCTCATCTGCTGGGTTGATCTCTGACGGGATCCAACGAACTGAAAATGAGAGGTTGCAACCAATAGCATAGGAGCAGAACTTGCGGATTTGTCTAAGCAACCTATAATTCCTACTCCTACATCTGTCAAAGGCCAACGCTGCGCTCATTGAATCAACCAACAGCAACTGTCTGGAATCAAAGGCACTGCAATCGTGCACCACTGCTTCCATGGACTTCACCAAGGCCCTGGCCTCCAGGTGCACTATGTGCTCAGATCTCTTCCAGCGGTCCTGGCGAACCACTTGCCAATCTGAATTTTGGAGTTGTTGGGCTGACACTTCTGGGAACTTTGAGTCAAGCTGCCAACCCGAGGCCTCAAGGTACTCTTCATCCCCCATCTCGCCAGCAATCCACCGGCCCGTCACCTCATCACGGATGAACCCGGCAGCTGAAAGTGCAGATTCCCTGGCATTGTGTCTGCCGGACCGCTTGAAACGATCCCTTTCACTGTACCTACCTATCTCTGCTGCTGCCGCAGGTTTCCAACTAGTGTGACAGACCCCGTACCCTTCTTCACTGGCATCTGAAACCATCACACTGCTGCTCCAAGGCCGAGACCAATCTGCTTTGAGTGCAGGCATCAGCCCCGCAAAAGCCCTGAGCTCAGCGACAACACTGGGCCAAAGCACCACTGAAGTATTGTAATTTGACTTGATGAACTTGTACACATTGTGAAAAATACTCAACGTGCAACGGTTCACCAGGCCGCAGTAAGTGCAGTGACCAACCACAATCTCCAAGGCCCGGCCTGTGCACCGACCTCTCCGAAGCAGGTGCCGGAGTCCTTGACGAACACGATGAAACCTGGCCGGGGCAACACGGGTGAAAAGGTTCTTGCCATCCATCTCAACTCCCAAGGCGGTGATAATCTCATGTTGAATCTCGCCTGGGTGCAGTAACAAGTTCTTCTCCGTGAACTGGTTGGTCAACTCTTTCAGACCCTGATCCACACAGACTGGATCACCACCAAGAACCCCAAGGTTGTCAACATAAACATAATGCTTCACTGTGTCAGGGGCCTGTGCAGAAAACACTGCCGGGCCACATCTGTCATTGATCAGGCTAGAGCCCCTCAATGCCGGCACCACCTGCATTTGCTGTTCACTGATCTTCTGAGCAAAATATAGTGACCAGCTGAAGCCCATGCACAAGGAACCTGGCATTGGGTAAACCAAATCATTAGACCGAAGCACCTGCCCTTCCAGCTCCTGCCCCGTGAGACCCACATGTCGAGCCTCAATTGGCATGAAACAAAAGTACTTAGACAACCATCGAGGTTGCTTGATGCGATGAAAACAGTCTTTGACGTCCGAGAGCCCAACATGCAAACCAAAGGAAGCATCCGTGCCCAATTTATGGAGGTCGCACTCCTCACCAAAATCGATCTCAATCTTGGAAAACGTTTCAGCAGTGGCGAGTGCAACACCCGGAGGGTCACGGAAAATAGCATTAGCAGGCCTTGTGTCAACTATCATCCTTATTTTCTGCCTGTCACTCTTCCAGACAAAGAACACCCCGGCATGCTGTGAAGGGGACAACGTAAAACCTAAATACCCCACCTCATTAAGCTTACGAATAAACTTACGATAGTTCCGAGGACAATTTTTCAAAGCAGGATCCCAATATGGAGACAAATTTGAGTCCTGAGTCACTTGATCACCAGATCGTAACATGCGCTCTTGCACCTCCAGGTATCGACGGTCATCCCCGTCCAGTAAATCCAAAGCCGCTGGTGCCGTGGTCAAATCGCTGGGCAAAGAGATGAGCTCGAGATTGAAGGGCGCGAGAGAAGCTGGAGTGGAAGGCTCACAGTAGCCATCCATCCCATGGAGCAGCTCCTTGTAGGCTGCCTCCTGCGACGGCATGCAACTCAGTGGACCTAAGTCGCCCGCCAGCCCAACCAATTCCTCCAGTCGCTTCAGCACCCGAAGCTGCAGTGGCGAGGGGGGCAAATTCGGCTGGGCATCAAAGTCGCCCACATGCATCCAATTCAGAGACGAAATCATCTCAAAAAGATCTTGCCGGCCTTTGACACGCCTTGCCAATCTCTGGCTGCATCCTCGGCTGAGACCACCGATCATCTTCAATGGTGGCGGCCTGGGCAAAGGGAAAAGGACGTGACGAGCACCAGCATCAAAACCATCAAAAGGCCCAAGGTTAGCTGAGAGGAGAGGCACTGGACCAGGCGACCTCCCCCCCTCCTCTTTTCTCATGAGGTTGACGGCGGCTCCAGCCCTTTGCCTCTAGCACGGCGTTTGGGCTTGGGGTTGCCGCCTGCGGGTAAGCTGCCATCTGCTGCAGCAACAGCTGCTTCCTCTGTTGACGCTGAACTCTTTCGGAGTTCCTTCATGCGATTGCGAGCCTGAAACAGCTCTACTTCTTCCTTGCCCTTCCTAGCAGCCCAGCTCTTCAGCTGGGGCATGACCAAGTCATCAGGACCAACATACCCAGTGAACAGCTTTGCATTTCCCCAGTCAGGGGAGGCTGAGCCACCCTGGGCATATGCGTCCACTATGCACTGGACACGCCGGGCGACTGTCTCCATGGAGGCAAGGACAGGAAGGTTCAGCTGATCATAAGATCCAGCGTGGTGGAAGACTTCCATCAAGCAACGAAGCTCGTGCTTCACCCTGTCTTGATCCGCAATTCCTTTCTGTCTGCACCATAGCTCCAACCACTGCTTTGGGTCACCCCCATATTTGTAGAAGTGTTTCAGCAAATGATGGACAGTCGCTGGCCCTGAGTGAGGCCAGTCCTCATAGTGGTACTCCACACATTCCTGGACAACCGCTCGCCAATCCTTGAAGCGGACGCCCTGCGCATCGAAGTCGATGAACAAAGTGCGGGCATCACCACCGCCCTCATCTGAAGATTCCCTCTTGGAGTCCACCACAGGTTCAGGTGGCGTGGCAAGGCTGGGGCGCCGTAACTCTAGAAACTCAGGGGAAGCAGCTACACCAACTAGTTCAACCTTTGCCCAACCACTCGCTGTCTTGACAAGCCCAGTGCGACCGTCAATCATGATGTCCTTGTCTGGGTTGACTTCAACAGCCTGGCCAAATTGGAAGCTGTCAATCTTCTCCAACACGACCCACACATGGTCCTCATCCGGCAGCGTAATGGGCTTCACATCAACACCACTGGGCAGTTGACCCGCCTGCCGAAGCACTCCAGGACCCTTGCCAGTGATGCGGTGAGAAGTCAAGAGCACCATGTCTCCAAGGAAGTCTTGACAAGGTTGAAGCAAACCCTTAACATCCACCACATGTTCAGGTCTCCATTCACGGTCGAAGGAGTCATCTTTGAGCCCTTCACGAAAGGCCTGCCGTATGTAGGACCTCAAGCTGTCATCTGTGGAGACAGGAGCGGAGAAACGGTACGCTGTGCCCCCAACTCTGCTCCAGTACTTGAAGTCTTGCCCCTTCACCTTCACTCGTGAAGGCCCATCCTCCCCACGCATCCCTAGATCTTCTGCATACAGATCCAAGTCTGGGGTCAGAATGAACCAGCAGTCTGGACCATGTCGCCATAACAACAGTCGCTCATGCCATACCACATCATCGCTGTAGTAGACGGCGAGGATCTGGCCAGGTAAGAGGTTCGCTAATGAAGCCATGCCCTCGTCGCCGATGGTGTGGCGAAACAGGTGAGGCAGAAGTTCCCTTACACCAGCAAACAACTGAAGCACCTAGAGCGCCGATCACCCCTCCGAAGCCCCAAGCAGATCCAACCCAATCGTCAGTAGAACAGTAACAGGAGCAGTGGCAATCGGCGCCCACAACCACCTCAGGAGGATCTGGACGATGTACGCTGGATGGAAAAGGCTTAAGACCCACCTGGAGAGCCTGGGTCACCAGAGCAAGCAGCAACGACTCCCAACGCATGGCGTGCCTACACTTTTTGCTTGAGCGGGACAGCAGAATGGCTAACTCTCAAGCACTTCCAATCTTCCCGTGCCAACACTTCCATACTTTTGACACTGTTTTGCAAAGAACATATTAACATATTTAATCTTCAACTTTGCGTATCCATTTTGCTACCACTATGCGCTTCCATTTTGGTACCACTATGCGCTTCCATTTTGGGAGCACTACGCGCTTCCATTTTGCTACCACTATGCGCTTCCATTTTGGTACCACTATGCGCTTCCATTTTGGGAGCACTACGCGCTTCCATTTTCGTACCACTATGCGCTTCCATTTTGGTACCACTATGCGCTTCCATTTTGGTCCTTTTGGGAGTAAACAACACCTTACCAATTTTAGCGGCCCATATGGCACAACAGGGCCTTTGAAGCTTTTTTGATTGACAATTTCTTGCTAAATAAGCTCACAACAGTCACTGCCACTAACAAACATAGAAATCCGCCCACACCGCTTTGGCGGTGAAGGCGTGCTTATTGGGGGGAAACAGCTACACTAAATGCTCAATCACATTTGTTAATATAGCAGTCGCTATATCAGCTTTAGCTGGGGGGGGGGCCAAAAACGGTTTCGCACCGAGACCAGAATTCGGTGGTGTTTCCGACATTTTTCGAAGATTTTTGGGTGTCTGAGCGCAAGAGGGTATTGAAATGGAATTTTGGGTCATTTTGGTAACTTTCCGGCAATGGAAAAACGGCCAAACATGAAAAAAACATTGTACATAGCAAGATTTTGCAGGGTTTTTGGATGGAGCATTGAAAACACTGCAAAAACAAGTGTGTTGGACTGACGTTATAGCAAAAAACGTGTAAATTACCGTATGCTTGACTGGAAACATTACAAAAACACTGTCAAAAGCAATCAATGTTTTGGAAGGATGTACTGCCTTTATGGCCAAAAACGTGTAAATTACCGTCTGTTTGACTGGAAACATTGGAAAAACACTGTCAAACACAATGTTTTGGAAGGATTTCTTATATATATGTTGGAGTTGGCTACCGGCATTGGAACATGGAAAAATTGAAGAAAACACTGTAAATAGCGGTATTTTCAACGGTTGGGGAGATAAGGGAATTGGAAGCATTGTCGAACATGATGTTTTCGACCGGTTTTATGGCGACAAAAGTGTAAAGTACCGTGCTTTGAAGCGCTTTGAAGGAAACCATTGCAAAAACATGGAAACACATTCAAAGAACACGGGATTTGGGGGACTATCTAGGCGTCGTTGTCTAGCTATTTGAAATTCCGCAGCTTGGAGAGCCTCCAAGGGAGGGAAAGTGAAAATTCCATAGCTTGGGAAGCTGTCACGGCGGGGAAAAGTGAAAATTCCCTAGCTTGGGAAGCCCCCACGGGGGGGAAAAGTGAAAATTCCCTAGCTTGGGGAGCCCCCACGGGGGGGGAGAGTGAAAATTCTTAGCTTGGGAAGCCCCCACGGGGGAAAAGTGAAAATTCCGTCGCTTGGGAAGCCCCCACGGAGAGGAAAAGCGAAAATTCCCTAGCTTGAGAAGCCTCCACGCGGGGGAAAAGTGAAAATTCTCGCCTGGGGAAGCCTCTACGGGGGGGAAAAGTGAAAATTGCTTAGCTTGGGAAGCCCCAATTGGAAGCATTGTCGAACATGATGTTTTCGACCGGTTTTATGGCGACAAAAGTGTAAAGTACCGTGCTTTGAAGGAAACCATTGCAAAAACATGGAAGCACATTCAAAGAACACGGGATTTGGGGGACTATCTAGGCGTCGTTGTCTAGCTATTTGAAATTCCGCAGCTTGGAGAGCAGCGGCAGGAACGCTATGTCTGCACTTGTTCCCTACAACTCAAGACAGCAAGACATGTCACTTCTTGCTTTCCGTCAAAGCCTCTTGGTTTGCTCCCCTTGTTCTACTCTTTTGCGTTGGATGCTGCTGACATGTCCAATTCATGCGGCAAAAAACATATTTTCAGTCCACTTAAAAAAATATTCACGAACCCAGCAGTTATGTATGTCAATTCTCCTGTGCTGCTCTGCTCCTCATATTCCACACCACCCTTAGCCCTCTCTCACGGACCGAAATAAACCTGCGGTGTGGGCGGCCACCCCACGCGAAGCGGGGTGAATTAAATCTACGTAATCAGCAACTACATACACAAACACGATATCCATGAGTACATGATATGCATAGAAAGTCGAGGGGTCTAAAATGATCAAGGTGGAGGGGTCTGAAATGATCCAGCCATTCCAGACCGCAGTACTTGAGGGTTATGCGTGAGGTACGTGATGCAACGCAAACTTTTGCAACAGAGAGGAATAAATATAGATGTGCTGCTGGCAAGCTTCTGCAGCCGAGAGGGAAAAAGTCAGCAGTGATAGTGTATATACTGTAATATACTGTAAATGTATAATATATATATATATATATCTATTTATTTTTATATATATATATGTCTATATATAGACGAACGTTAAAAAAATGTGATGTGGGGCTACGCGCTGCACCAGCCGAAAGGAAACCTACCGTGATGTCAAAATAAGTCCTGCCATTTTGCAATGCACCTTTTATTCCACAACTGAAAACATGGCCACGCACACTGATCTATGTAATGCACCGTCATGCAATGCAACGTCATGCAGTGCAACGTCATGTAATGCGCTGTCATCATGCAATGCGCTGTCATCATGCAATGCACTGTCATGCAATGCGCTGTCATGCTGTGCAACGTCATGCAGTGCACTGTCATGCAATGCGCTGTCATGAAATGCGCTGTCATGTAGTGCAACGTCATGCAAGGCACTGTCATACAATGCGCTGTCATGCAATGCGCTGTCATGCAGTGCAACGTCATGCAATGCAATGCACTGTCATGCAATGCGCTGTCATGAAATGCGCTGTCATGCAGTGCAACGTCATGCAATGCAACGCACTGTCATGCAATGCGCTGTCATGCTGTGCAACGTCATGCAGTGCACTGTCATGCAATGCACTGTCATGCAACGTGCTGTCATGCGGAACGTAATGCAGTGCAACATCAGGCAATGTACTGTCATACAATGCGCTGTCATGAAATGCGCTGTCATGTAGTGCAACGTCATGCAATGCACTGTCATGCAATGCGCTGTCATGCTGTGCAACGTCATGCAGTGCACTGTCATGCAATGCACTGTCATGCAACGTGCTGTCATGCGCAACGTAATGCAGTGCAACATCAGGCAATGTCCTGTCATACAATGCGCCATCATGAAATGCGCTGTCATGCTGTGCAACGTCATGCAGTGCACTGTCATGCAATGCACTGTCATGCAACGTGCAGTCATGCGCAACGTAATGCAGTGCAACATCAGGCAATGTCCTGTCATACAATGCGCCGTCATGAAATGCGCTGTCATGCTGTGCAACGTCATGCAATGCACTGTCATGCAATGCACTGTCATGCTGTGCAATGTCATGCCGTGCACTGTCATGCAATGCACTGTCATGCAACGTGCTGTCATGCGGAACGTAATGCAGTGCAACATCAGGCAATGTACTGTCATACAATGCGCTGTAAGGAAATGCGCTGTCATGTAGTGCAACGTCGTGCAATGCACTGTCATGCAATGCGCTGTCATGCAACGTGCTGTCATGCGCAACGTAATGCAGTGCAACATCAGTCAATGTACTGTCATACAATGTACTGTCATACAATGCGCTGTCATGAAATGCGCTGTCATGTAGTGCAACGTCATGCAATGCACTGTCATGCTGTCGTGCAACGCGCTGTCATGCGCAACGTAATGCAGTGCACTGTCATGCTGTCGTGCAACGCGCTGTCATGCGCAACGTAATGCAGTGCAACATCATGCAAGGCACTGTCATACAATGCGCTGTCATGAAATACGCTGTCATGTAGTGCAACGTCATGCAATGCAATGCGCTGTCATGCTGTGCAACGTCATGCAGTGCACTGTCATGCAATGCACTGTCATGCAACGTGCTGTCATGCGCAACGTAATGCAGTGCAACATCAGGCAATGTACTGTCATACAATGCGCTGTCATGAAACGCGCTGTCATGTAGTACAACGTCATGCAATGCACTGTCGTGCAATGCGCTGTCATGCTGTGCAACGCCGTGCAATGCACTGTCATGCTGTGCAACGTCATCCAATGCACTGCATTGTCACACAATGCGCTGTCATGCAATGCTACCTCATGCAATGCACTGTTATCATGCATGATCACTGTCATACAATGCACTGTCATGCAATGCGCTGTCATACAATGGGCTGTAATGCAATGCACTATCATGGAATGCAATTTCATGCAGTGCCATGGTGTCATGCAATGCACTGTCACACAATGTACTGTCATACAATGCGCTGTCATGCAATGCACTGTCATGCAATGCACTGTCATGCAATGCAGTTTCTTGCAATGAGCTGTGATGCTGTGCAACGTCATGCAATGCACTGTAACCATGCAATGCATTGTCACACAATGCGCTATCAAGCAATGCAATGTCATGCAATGCGCTGTTATCATGCATGATCACTGTCGTACAATGCGCTGTCATGCAATGCAATCTCATGCAATGGAAGGTCATGCAATGCGCTGTCATCATGCCATGCACCGTCATACAATGCAGTGTCTTGCAATGCAACGTCATACGCTGGAACATCATGCAATGCACTGTCATACAATCAATGGGCTGTCATGCAATGCAATATCATGGAATGCAACGTCATGCAGTGCCATGGTGTCATGCAATGCACTGTCACATAATGCGCTGTCATACAATGCGCTGTCATGCGATGCAGTGTCTTGCAATGAACTGTCATAGTGTGCAACGTCATCCACTGCACTGTCATCATGCAATGCACTGTCACACAATGCGCTGTCATGCAATGCAACGTCATGCAATGCGCTGTTATCATGCATGCACCGTCATACAATGCAGTGTCTTGCAATGCAACGTCATACACTGGAACGTCATGCAATGCACTGTCATAGAATGGGCTGTCATGCAATGCCATATCATGGAATGCAGCGTCATGCAGTGCTATGGTGTCATGCAATGCACTGTCACACAATGCACTGTCATGTAATGCGCTGTCATGCAATGCACTGTCATGCAATGCAGCGTCATGCAGTGCAACATCATGCAATGCACTGCCATACAATGCACTGTCATACCGTGGAACATTATGCAATGCACTGTCATAAAATGCCCCTCATGCCGTGCAACGTCATGCAATGCACTGTCATGCAATGAGCTGTCATGCTGTGCAACGTCATACAATGCACTGTCATCATGCCATGCCATGCACTGTCATATAATTTGCTGTAATGCAATGCAGTGTCATGCAATGCAACGTCATGCAATGCGCTGTTACCATGCATGATCACTGTCATACAATGCGCTGTCATGCAATGCAATGTCATGCAATGGAATGTCATGCAATGCGCCGTCATCATGCCATGTACTGTCGTACAATGCGCTGTCATGCAATGCAGTCATAATGAGATGCACTGTCATACAATGGGCTGTCATGCAATGCAAATGTCATGCAATGCAACGTCATGCAATTTGCTGTCATCATGCCATGCACTTTCGTCATGCCATGTATGGTAGGTTGACGACGTGCGCATGCGAAATGATGCAATGTGTCATAGTGACCGCCAGCAGTGATGAAATTGGAAAATGTGCAAGTCTGCAAAAATCATGGGATGAAGAATGAAATAAATTAGCTGTGACAAACTGGTGGAAACGAAAGAGCGCGCAGCGGACAACACAAAAAACAAAACCCCCGCCCCGCCCAAAACATTGAGATTCCTCTTCCTCCAATGCCGCTGCCCGTTTTTGCCCGCCCCACCGGTCGCTCAAGCTGGGTTTGCTTGCCTAGCACCAACCGCAACACGAGAGAAGGCTTAGGCTTATGAGGTTCAGTTGTAGGCATAGGCCTGAAATCTTGAAAACCCTTTTTCCCATAAATTTCCCATATTTTTCCAATATTAAAAACCCATAATAAACCAATAGTTTTTATATTAAAATATGTATACCCCAGAATAAACCCATATGATTTTAATCAAAACATTAATGATGACTGACTTACCCACGCAAACAATTACACAGAAGTTTGGGTTCAAGCCCAGATAGAAGACACTTGGAAATGCTGTCACATTTTTCATAGCAGCATAGCATAAAATGAAACCTAACCAGGATTGGTGGAGGGGTTGGCAGAAAGGTTGGTAAAACAGGTAGGGGTTTGTAGAAGGGTTGGTAGGGGTGTTGGTAAAACAGAAAGGGGTTGGCAGAGGGGTTGGTAGAGGATAGAGGGGTTGGTAGAGGGGTTGGTAGAGGGGTTGGCAGAGGGGTTGGTAGAGGGGTTGGTAAAACAGACAGGGGTTGGCACGGGGGTTGGTAAAACAGACAGGGGTTGGCACAGGGGTTGGCACGGGGGTTGGTAAAACAGACAGGGGTTGGCACGGGGGTTGGTAGAGGGGTTGGTAAACGGGTTTGGGGTGGTTGCCCAAAATTTGCCAAAACATGCGTTTTTCCTGAGAGGCACCCATAAACTAACCCATAAACTAGCCCATAATCCAACCCATATTTCCCCAAAATCATTGAAAGTTAGGAAAAAATTGGAAAATTTACCAAAAACATGCGTTTTTCCTGGGAGGCACCCATAAACCAACCCATATTTCCCCAAAATCACTGAAAATTAAGAAAAAATAGGAAAATTTGGCAAAAACATGTGTTTTTCCTGGGAGGCACCCATAAACCAACCCATAATCCAACCTATATTTCCCTAAAATCTTTCAAAATTAGAAATTTTAAGAAAATCTGGCCAAAACATGCGTTTTTCCTGACAGGCACCCATAAACTAACCCATAATCCAACCCATATTTCCCCAAACTCACTGAAAATTAAGAAAAAATTGGGAAAATTTGGCAAAAACATGCGTTTTTCTTGGGAGGCACCCATAAACCAACCCATAATCCAACCCATAATCCAACCCATATTTCTCCAAATTCTCAAAATGTGCAAAAAACTGCATTTTGCTTGAGAAGAACCCACGTCCAAAACCCATGTCAAAAATTGAACCAAAATTAGAACCCATCCACCAACCCATGTGGAAACTTGCCAATTTCCAAGTCAAAGCTAAGGGTAAGTCGTTTTGAGAGGTCAATGCCACAATGTGTATGTTGGGATATGTTGGGTTATGGCAATGTCCTGGTGTCCTGTAGTTTTTTTCCGAAATCAACACCCGGTAAAGAACCCTGAGTCTTGATTCTACCAGTAGTACCGCACAAGGCGGTGGCGGAAGTTTCAAAAACAGGAAACCTATAGGGCAGGTTCGTTGTTGTGGATCATGGATGGCAGAGCGAATCCACTGATGGACCTAAAAGTGGTTGGAGTTGTGTTTTCTGGAGTGGTTGCACTAGTTGCAGTGGTCACTTCACCACAACTGCTGGATGTAGTGTGGTGTAGTGCAGTTGCAGTTGTAGACACAGTTGTCAAAAGGGTTGTCCAAATCATCCTATATTGCGCACAGGGTCTGGCACAAGTTTCACAAGGGCTGTCCAAACCATCTCATATTTTGCACAAGGTTTGACATAGGTTTCAAAAGGGCTGTCCAAATCATCCTCTCTTTTGCATAGGCAATGACAGAGGTTTCAATAGGATTGTCCAAATCATCTGACATTTTGCATGGGTTTTAGATATAGCTTTTTTATGGTTTTTTTAAGGAATAAGTAAGAATTTGCTAGTCCAGGGTATGCCCATAAGAATCTTATAAGCTTAGGCTAAGCTCACTCGCTGTGAGTCTCACCCGTCCTCGCCAGATCTTGCAAGTGTGCCCGGCCCAGCCAAGAAAAATAGGCTCAGCACTCAACATCTTGAGGCCACGGAAGCAAAGCTTCCTCAAAGGGTTCACCAGAGGTTCCCCCCACGGGCGCTGCCAAGATGAGGTTCACACGAGCCGTCCCCGGGTCTTTAGACGGGCCCTCCTACACAGCCAACCGCGAAGCCCCACCCCCACAATCCCCAAGCATGCAGTGGAGAGAGGAAGAAACCTCCACACAGGGCCAGCAGAGCTGCCTTTCGTGCCGCATGCTCAGAGACCGCAGGCTAACTCAAGTATTGTTGAAGGACCAAGCAAGCAAACCCAGCCATCGCTTCCGCCAAGAAGTGAACAAAAACGTGCTACAGCATCTTCAGCTTTGGAATCTCAAGGGTTTGGTCTTTGTTTCCCTTTTGTAACCGCACTATTTCGCAGGCAGTCTCACACCAAGGAGACACGGACACCGGGAGACAGGAGCTGAGCCCCATGATGGCAAATAAACTCAACTGATTGGTCGCCCAATCAAAATTCATACAACAAAATGTATCAATTCTCTTGTGCTGCTATGGCATCGGTTTCAGAAAATATCGTTTGATGAGGTACTCGCAAGGGAAAAAAAAACAAACGCCAATTGAATTCACGCGGCGGTTCAAAATAGTGATGCTAGCCTAAGGTAATAGTTCTTGGCCAATAACTGACTATGGCAGAATCAGGCCGGAACTCCACCAAATAAAAAACACATGATTCAAGATTCTTTCATCATCTTAACCCACACATTGAATACCAAAACTTGATTGGCGGTGAACAATTGATCATGAATATGGATATGGTTGCCCTGGACTCCTAAACTCTTCCATGCCATGGATGGCTCCTTTTTTGTATTGGATTTTGCGGGCATGTATTCTGAACCATCAACTCCCGAGTCTGCGTGTTCAAGGGTCTGCTATGGGGATCCCACAGCAAAAGAGCATGAACCATGTTCTTTGTCTGCGATCGCGCGGATGTTGGAACTGTACAACTCTGAGCCGTTAAGGTGTCGCAATTGCTGCAAATGTGCAACGTACCACTCTAGTCTGATACCTGGAACGACATGTAAGAATATGAACGCGTCACTTTTTTATTGGGTGCTTCAAAGATGCTCTCGCTAGGCAGGGCATGGCAAGGTCACAAACCTAATTCAAGGCCTTGGTAAGGAGTTTGTGCTGAGAATTGATGTTATGTTGCAGAGAGCTTCGCTGCCTACCCGGCGACCTTCACTGCTAGTGCGGGCATTGCACGACCATCTTAGGCACTGTGCGGAGCTGTGCTTTGATCAGCTGATCAAACAGTTGCCGTTCGGTCGGGGTTGCTGGCCTGGAAGGTACACAGGCAAAAGCACAAGGAAAACAGGATTGCAATGCGGTGCAAATACTTGCGCTGCAGCTGAGATTAGGATTGGGAGGTACGATCGCTACAATTGCGAATCTATGCGTGTCCTTTGTCCTTGGCCTTTCAGTCTGGAAACACCTATAAACCTTCCCGCAAAACATTTGACATGCCTGCCCCTTCAGGTGGAGGTGCTGAGGGAGTGTCGATCTCAAAGTTGGTGCGCTCCTCACTCTACCGATGAAATCTAAAGTTCTCGATGTGCCAAAGCCGCATTACTGTGAAACCGTATGCAATTGTAGAATGCTCCGCAAATAATGCTCAAGTATGCAATACTGTATCTGCACACATGCTCCATAAGCATACGTACAAACATGTGCAAAGCCTTTCAAACATGCAGTGCGGGGCTCTGCAACTGTAAATTGCCATATAAATATATGATAATACATGACAATGTATGACGATGTATAAGTATGACAATATATAACCATGTGTGAGACTGACAATATATGGTAATAAATGACCATATGAAAATAAGCGACGATAATTTATATTTAACATATGAAAAACATGGCAAAGCATGAAAAAAACATGATCATATATGATAAAAACTGATAAAATATGATAAAACCTGAGAATATATGACGAAAAAACAATAATAAATGATAATATATGATAACCAATGATACAAAATTATTAAAAACTGATAATAGTTGAATATATTAATTTATGGTAAGGAAGGATACTGGGTGATAATAAATGATAAACATGGCAAGATATGCAAATAAATGATAATACATGATAAAAGATGATGCTAAATCAGAATGCATGATAAAATATGAGCAAATGTATGATACTACGTGATACCATACGATACTGAATGATAATAAAAGGTAATATGGATACATAATTATGAACATGAAAACATTGATGGTATGTGATCATATATGATAATTTTTGATACTACATGATAATATACGATAATAAATGATAATAAATGAACACATGTCTGACAACAAATGATAAAACAAGACAACACATGTGACAAAATACATGACAATATATAATATACATATCATATAATATGAAAACATAATACATTTGATAATGTACATTTGAGTAATGTAAATAAACATATATGATGATAACATATCTGCGAAGCTGGTCCAGTCTCCTCAGACCCAGGTAGCGCAGTTGGCTGCGACAAGTACAAGACTGATGGATCGCTTGGGTCAACATACGCAACCTGAAGCGGGGCCGCATTTTCAAGGTGATCAAAATTTGAGGATGATCAAAGTGCCAGATCTTTGTAGGTGAAATTGAAACAGTAAGCAGGTTGCGAAACTTGTCAGGGCACGAATAAAGCAGTCACAAGCCTGATTGAGCCGACCTTCTTGTGCAGCTTGAGCCTGGGGTTGGGCGACTGCCACTTCTTTTTCTACTTGTATACCCAGGTCCAAACAAGTGGGGGCTGCCAGGACTAGAGGCAGTTAGGTTTGCAGCTTTTGGATACCATCGCAAATTCTTAGGAGCAAAGCGTGTAGAAGCAAACCCTGGCGAAGAGACGCATAATCAAACGCAGGAGCAGTGCAGCTTGCAGAATCTTACATCAGAAGGGGATGCTCCTAGTTTGAGCCATCAACAGCAGGAGTGACGCGTGTATGAAGCAGTCTGCAGCTGTGCAAAGGCATCCAAGCACAGTCACAACCCAAGGTGAAAAAACATTTACATCTCAGTCGCCTTTGGCAGGCTGTCAACATCACTTTGAGCTTGTGGCAATAGGCCCCTGTTCACGCTGAGCCTCTCAGTTTTGGGGTCTTCCGGCATTCCATGAAGGGAATATAGAGAGCAAACGGAAAAACTTTTGAAATTCCCAACCCACAAAGTATAATCTAGTTTGGGCACCCGCCTCTGATGTAGACATGGGCAATGACCATTACTAAAGAGTCCAGTAACAAACCAGCGATAATTCTGATGGTCACTGTTGCAGGTGTGGGGATATAAGCAAACTTAGTCATTCAACTCATTGAGTAGGTATTGCAGCCAACTTGACTGGCAAACTCCAAACCCACAGCCTGAACTTCCGAAAGCAAAGGGTAGAGCAGCTGTAGAAACGTATCTGCAACCAGGCTCAAAAATGGTTCGTGATTCATGTTACATCTGAGTCTCACATGCTGGTGCACGCGCGTTCATCTCAGAAGCTCTACTTGTGAAGCCGACCAAAAAATAATGAGGGTCACAGGGGCAAGCGTGCGAGTTGAGGCACGTCATAGTGCACCCTCTTCAAAAACTTGTTTGAGCTGCTTCTGGGATCCTGGTTTCTCCCTTTTTATGCATATCAGCACTGCTTGCCTGATTTATCCAATGGTCATGTCTTTTTTGGCTTAAGCACCCGATAACTTTGTTTCCCAAGCTGAGCTTAGAACTGCATCCCCCGCTTCTGAAAGTCAAGTAGAAGACCTGATGAAATCGCTGGTCAAGTGTGAAAAACAATGGCAAACAAATAGATTGCATAGTTGAAAAACAAGATGCAGCCCACGAACCCGAATGCAGTCACGTATATAGAACACTTTTGTGAAACAAATTATTTGAACAGTCTATATTTTCCCCATGCGGAAGAGGGTGGAGTGCAAAGTGTTGAGTGTGGAGTGTAGAGTGTGAAGTGTAGAGTGCGGAGTGTAAAGTGTGGAGTGTGGAGCGTAAAGTGTGGAGTGAGGAGTGTAAAGTGTGGAGTGTAGAGTGAAAAGTGTCAAGTGTAAAGTGTGGAGTGTAGAGTGAAAAGTGTAAAGTGTGGAGTGTAGAGTGTAAAGTGTGGAGTGTGGTGCGTCGCGCGTGGAGTGTAGAGTGTAAAGTGTGGAGTGTAGAGTGTGGCGTGTGGAGAGTAAAGTGTAGAGTGTGTAGAA